ACCTGCTAGAGTTTCTGTTGAGAATCTAGGTTTTTTAATGATTGATATGAAAGGCAAGTGACCCTTTTTGTCTTAGAATGAGTGACCATAGATGAATGCAGCTGAATTGATCGCTGTCACGTTTATGTGTTGGACAGTTATCGATAATTCCTCGATTGTTGCCATTTACTAACATGGAATTCTGTCGCTACTAATGCAAAGCGTTTGCTCTTTTCTGATTTTTCGCGATGATTTCCATTGTCATTGATTACACCGGCCTATCATTATAGGCCATGCGAATTCTGGTCACGGGTGCAGCTGGATTTATTGGCAGCCATACAACACTCGAGTTGGTGGAAGCCGGCTATGATGTGATGTGTATAGACAATTTCTCCAATTCAGTGTCTGGTATGTTCTTTAATTACTGCTAGTTTTACATGGAAACTTTTCTTGTAAAGTTCAATAGAGGAAAAAAGTTCAGTTGAAAAAAAAAAGCATTTTGAAGGGTAAAGTTACTGAATAGAAAGCATCTTTCAGATGGGAAAGGAAATGCTGTTTCGTTATTGCGAGTGGCTGAATTAGTTGGTAAACCGATTCCTTTCGAGGAATGTGATGTTTGCGACCTGGAGCACCTGGACTCTGTTTTTGCAAAGGTATGAATGTTCCAGTGTACTAGTGTTTCCAAGTATCGTGGTTGCCACTTCGAGGGTCATGGTTCTTGGTTTTGCTAACATAAGTTCTCTTTGAACTTTGTGAAGTCTAGGCACCATTGTTTTCCAATGTATGCCTCTTTATTTCAGGGAAATTTCGATGGCCTTATCCATTTAGCCGCTTTAAAAGCTGTAGGCGAGTCTGTTGCAATGCCTTATGAATATTATTCTAATAACCTCGTCGCTAGTCTTAATCTTGTAAAGGTGAGCATTTTACCGTATTCATGTGCTCTTTTTCAAATGCTTTACAAATTTATCGCTTTTCAGATGTGTCAAAAGTATGATGTTAAAAACTTTGTCTTTTCTTCGAGCGCCACTGTGTATGGCGTTCCAAAGGAACTGCCAGTAACAGAGAATAGTCCAACCGGCCAGGTCAGCTCTACTTTTGAATCAACTTAGCAATTGTTGTGTGATTGTGCAATAAAAACCTTCCAGGACATTTTACCACTTTTTACAGGGAATAACTAACCCCTATGGTCAGACTAAGTACATGATGGAGCAAATATTAATCGACGTCGGGAAGGCTCACCCGGTATGTCCACAATTGAATCAATGATTTAGTGTCTCCGCGTTCATTTCGTATTGCTTAGGGAAAGTTTGTATATCTTTGAGGATTGGAACATAATTTTGCTGCGGTACTTCAATCCGGTTGGTGCTCATCCAAGCGGAAGAATAGGTGAAGATCCTCGAGGTGTGCCAAATAACCTCATGCCTTTCGTTAGTCAGGTCAGAGATTTTAGTAACGTCTTGACTAGTGTAATGTTCTCTGAAGAGTTTGTTTCAGGTGGCCATAGGTAAACTGCCTGTACTGAAAATTTTCGGTGACAAATGGGACACACCGGATGGAACGGGAGTCAGAGATTACATTCATATTGTGGATCTCGCTAGAGGCCATGTTAAAGCACTGGATCGAATTCAGAAAAGAAGGTATTCCAGAGGCACAAGGATGGGTTTTATAGCAAATTTTGTTATTCGCTCCAGGTCACGTTGGAACGGAAATCTACAATCTTGGAACCGGTACAGGTTATTCAGTGAAAGAAATGGTTGCAGCTTTCGAAAAAGCTAGTGGTCGTAAGGTACCCACAGAGGTGAGATAAATATCGAAATTTTTCGAGTTAAGTAGACTGGGTGCTCCTATTTACTGTAGCTGATGCTAATTGCTGGTTCAGGTTGGTGAGCCCCGCAGTGGTGACATCGCTTCTGTGTACTGTGATCCTTCTCTGGCGTTAAAAATGCTCGACTGGAAAGCAGAATTCGGTTTGGAGGATATGAGCCGTGATCTTTGGCGCTGGCAAAGTAACAATCCTAATGGTTTCGCTCAAGCGTAACAAATCCTTTCTAACTTGGCATAAGTTGTATCATTTGACAGTGCATAGCCCCAAGGGCTACATATATTCTCTTGTAATCTCGACTTAATTTATTTATATAGATAATTTTATGTAGATGTATGTAGATAATTTTTATTAAGCCATCCCATTCCGAAGTGATAATGCCTCAAAAGTTTCACTTTTGGTGTTCTATTGAGTGGTTGTGGATCGGGCATAAAGCATTCATGACGTGGAATAAAGCATTAGATTTTATCTGTTTTTCTATATGTTGGTTTTACCAGTTAAGTGCATAATTATCTCAGTGGCATACTCTACCAGTCAGACTTTGTTTTGGTCCTAAACGTTTTAACTGGAAAAATTACTCAACGATTAGTACAAATGCAAGAATAGGGATAGGCAAGCTATTGGTAGTCCCCTGTGAGGTTATCCGTAGTGACCGGTCAGTTTAAAACCACCACCACTCTCTTCCCCACTTTCCTTCCCGACGAATGGTAGAGCACCAAGAGGGGCGCTGCATAGTCGAACCTGGATCCATCGTGGCACAATTCCAACACCGCTCCCAATCGAGGACCGTAGGAGTTCGTCGAAGTTCGTCGAAGGAGGGAAGGAGGTTACTTTTGAAAAATTCCAACTTCTTGAAAATTCCCTTCTCATGTGTTCCAGGGATTTGATATTCCTTTGCATCCCCATCCCTCACCTCCTCAAGTCACAAAACACGACCCTTCACCTCGGTGTTAACTTATCGTGGTCTGTTGTCTGCGCTGCTGAGAACAGTAGGTTGAATTTTTGTCTGAGGTAGAACCGCTCCTGTGAAAGAAAATATTACGCGAAAGTCAGTCTAGCTCATTTCAGTTCTCTCTTTGTTGGAAACAGAACACTCCCGAGCTCTATGTTCGGTATATACTGTCGTGGGATCGACTAGAAAAGAAGGCTCGTATAGGAACCTTGGACCGTATGTAGTTGTAGCAGTCCTCAAAAGATTGTGTTCTTATGCCTGTCAATCCAGTGTTTTTCCCTCCTAGTCAGGAAGGCTTTAATCTGCTTGGGAGTACTGTTTAAGGCTTGGCAAGACTGTCCCTTTAATTTCGAGGATTATTACGTAACAACTTTAGGACATCTGACTCGGCTCGTCGGCAGCTGCAGAAGTGACCTGGCAAAGATGCAGTGGATGTAGAGGGATAGGAGGGGAAGGGCCCTGAAGAGGAGTGCTTGGTCGGGTGAACTGCAGTGCATTAATGACGCTGGGAGGAATAGAGAGATCACGTATAGCAGTGAGGGAAATAAAGGAAATTGAACTTGTA